TCAGACATCCACATTGATAACTGCATACTTAAACCATTAAGTGTCTGAACAAACGGCCATCAGAAGTTGACTAGAGGAAAAATCGTATTGTATTCAAGAGTAAGAAACTCGCTAAGTGACTGCTTCCCCATTGAAAAATATTCCTGTAGCACCCACTTGAATGGGTCTATGGATCATGATACGCGTCTATCCCTTGTCATAATTTCCACCTAGTCATCAAACACCATCAAACACAAGAGAATGAAAGAAGTCACCTAGTTTCATGTTAATAGGAGTTCGGCTAGGATAGCACCTGATTATGTTATAGGTAAGCAGCGGAACTAGTCGGGAAAGCATGATGGACGGATCTATGTGTAATATTCCATGACGACAATATGAGAACAATCGACTGCTGCAGGTTTGTTTAGAGAATTATTTAAGTTAGTCCTAAATTGGGGGATGAGGACAGACACTGTCTCCCTTGGACACATCCAACATCAGGTTTTTGAGGTTCTCGAATAAGCCTCTTGGTATGAGTTATCGATGGAGAGTGTTAGAAAGAAACTACTGCTTCCCCCGAATCACCTTAATGGACCTCAATCATGCATTAGTCAGCTGCAATAGGTGTCTATGGATGAACAAACATATTAAACAACCGAGTGCGAATTCCAGCTGTTTTGCACGGGTTTGCGGTATGTATTTAGGGATGAAATAAAAAAAACATGGTAGTTCCACAGAAGAGGTGTCAGTTCAATTTTTGTAGGACCATACCTGAAAGTGGTTATTAGATTACAGTCAAATATCAGTGGAAGCTGAATTCTTATCTCCGTAAATTGACGCAGCGAAATTGACATATGAGATTGACGAACGGCGAAAGCTACTCGAAAGTATTCTGACTAGTAGCCTTCGCCACTAAAGCGAAGCAAATAGAGATAGCATCAGCAGTAGGCAATATCAGTGAGATATTTTGGCCTATTTGGGAAAAATGTTCTAAAAATGTTAGGTTAAGAAAAATAATCTCCGAGAGAGATGCAAATTTATCAACATTTGCGCTACTGAAAGGTCCTATAGTAGCTTTATGCTGTAAAAAGAAGGCTGACGAAGTTTTACACGCTTATGATGACATTTTACACATATTCATGCAGATGTGTAAGAGTTTGTAACTAGTGGTATGTATCAAGTATCCCTGATATCACTATTTTTATTTAACTATTTACACAATTCTAGTCGTCCTCTATGTTTCACTGATCACGTTGCTATTACTTATTGAGAGCATTTATAAGATATGGATATTTGAAATGATGATGGTGAATAATACAGTCATGTGAACACTCAGATCATACTCTTTCGCCTTTCAGTTCTAGATTATGCTGAACTGCCGATCTTCAAGTCATTACTTAGTCACGATTTTAATCTGACTGAAGGTCTATTCAAAGTCTTAAAAGTCAATCTGAACGATGAATATTCTTTACAATAATTTCTATTCAGGTTCTTGCAATTAAAAAATGTAATATTAGTTGTTGTCGTTACAATAATGACCAATTATGCAGTGGATACACTTTTTAACGTGGAATAACAGATTAGTTATGGGGTGTCGATAGTGTTGAGAGAATGTTTGCACGAAGGGTAAAAATTATGACGAATAATAATAATAGTTGTGATGATAAGCAAAGAAAAAAAAACTAAGAACGTTAACGGGAGGAAGCACTTTTGGTGAGAAGAAGAATCATCAATCCAAGTTTGGCCACAATAAGAACAGCGTCTACAATTTTCTCTAGAAAAAGGTGATAGTTTCGATTTTGTTATATGGAAAGATATTGAATTTTCAATATTTATTCAAACTATTGCATTCACGATGGACATCAGAATGGGGACTTAGTTATCATACAAAGGACATTTTATGACCTCATCAAATAATATTCAACAATTTCGATCAATTAATTTATTTTTGACTACAAGAAATGTGGCGAACATATGCTCTGCAAACTTGGTCATTAATAAGTCTGATTATCTGTGTCTAGTCACATTAAAATGTGTTGACTGACTCGATGAAACACCGACAAATTCAGCTATTTGTCGGGGGAATGCATAACTTATTCACAAGGTGTGTCCACAATATACAATAAATTCAAGTTTACGTTTCACAGTATCGTCACTAGACTATTTTATTTATTTATATGAAATATTTTAAATTAACTTTATTTACCGTTAGTTTTGCAAGATAGCTGACTGAAGCCCAGCGGAAGATTGGGTTAGAAGAATGCTGAAGTTATACAGTCCTATCACTGAAGTTTATACTAGTCGCTGGTGCCATAGACTAGTTAAAATGGTAGAAAATTTCAACGGTAGAAGAATGAACACTCTACTAACTGTCAAAAATAAATGTACCTTAAAGAATAAAAAGGATGTTTCAACATATCGATTGTATTGGTTTGCTTAAAAAGGAGGTAAATTAAGTACATTTATAGTAACTAGGTGACGAAAAGTGACTCTTAACTACTTGATTATATTTATAATAGAGGATACAGTTTGAAGCTATTACTTCTTTCACTATGTGTGTGTGTGTGTTTGTGTTAATCTAAGGCAGTGACATTTAAGGTAAATTTATAACATAAAATGTCTAAAAATGATGACATTACTGTGAACAAACTCTTAAAAACTTAATAAGGAAAATTTTGCGTGATAGATATATCATCTAGGCATAACAAACTAAAGATGAGAAGTATAATCGATTCGTTAAACCAGAGTATTTCTCATGGCATTCATTTTCAACCCGTGAGTTTCAAATATACTGAGAAAAACTAAGGCGTACGTTATGCCATCTCTACGTATTATCAAATGAATTAGTAATCAAACTGAATTAGATAAACTAAAATAAAGGACAAGTGAGTTTTAATATTTTGTAGAAAAGTCAGCCGAATATTAAATTTTCTTTGTGGAAACAACATTGCATTCGTTATTTATTTTACAACAAGATGTTTTGAACAATCTGATGTTCAGCAGGAGTTACACATTCTCTTCAAACCTTTATGGGGTACAAAGATAATTACATGTGACGTCTGAATTATCAAACAAGTGATAGGATCGCTAACTGATTTAGGCAACACCGAAATCGAAGTGTAACAGAAATTAGAAGAGTGACACGACTTGTAGGTTTTGAACAAAGCAACTGATTCATAGTATTATGTACAAATAGTTCGAGAGTTTTAGTTCAATATAATGATGAAGACAATCACTTTAATCAATAGAAAAAGTGTCAGGGATATTCAGAGAGTTCTGAAAAGACGTCAGTGGTTGTCGATCTGAGCATTGTAGGTATGTATAGACTGTCTGGCCTGTGTCCTCAAGATGTTAAGAATCAATGTTTGCAGACTGTCTGTAACATTGCTCAAATTTAATCACAATGACTCAGTCATATTTACCCAATAATAATTTTCTGAAAAGATTCAATAATATTTGTCAAGTTTTCTTACACGTTGCTATACACTGTAGTTTCATTACAATTTATTCCCATTGCTTTATATGAGCATTTTCAAAGTGCACAAACTTGATGTAATGAACCTGTGTGCAAATTTCTGAGATGTTTCACCACTTAATAACTATTTGAATAGTTATCAGAGGTCTATAGATCTTAACTGATACACAATCGTTTTTAACACTATGCTGACACAGAAATTTATCTATTTACGTCTTAAAGCATCACGTAAGCCAGTTTCGCTAGCTAAAATAATTACTTATGGATTAAGGTAAGGTAATAATAAAAAACTAAACAGTATAATATCATTTCATATTAAGGATTCTCATTAATTGGTAGACCAAGCAAAGCACACTTTAATACTGAAATATTGCTAACCGTGATATGAATTTTGTGATACCATTGAAAAAGACCTGGGCAGCTAGGTGATTTCTAACTTTCTGTGTTATTCAAAGGCAACATGCATTAAAATCTGAAAAAGGTTTGACATTCACCCAGCATCATTATCATAATGAATCCATCTCATCTTCTATTGTTTAGTATTATGCACTAACCTCCCTCTTGTTCTTTTCTCTCAGTCATTGTGTTCTTAACTTTCACGACTGGGATTCAGATTTTATCTTACCAGTCTACTTATCTAGTAGTAAAACATTTTATATTCCTGAAGTCAAACTGAATTTTAAGTTTTGTTATGAAGAACGAATTACTGCCATGAAACCTCCATTATTTTTTGCGTCTTTCATACAGTTATCTGTTTATTTCATGAAGTGATAATCACTTAATCACTTTTAACCAGCATGTTGAGTTTTTCTTAATTTCATTTCCTTCAATTTCTCGGATTTGTTCAAACTTTTTAAGCATTCCTAATCAAGTGAACTATGTTAGTCATTCTTTCAGGAACATACTTTGTGAATGGAGCAGCTGATATGATTTAAAAAATACAACGACATGTTTAATCGTCATCCTTTGTTACTACAAATGCATAACACTGTGTGTAAGTGTGCAAACTGTGTAAGTTTATTGCAGGGGTTTTATACATTGTCTTTCAATCTGCATCAATGACCGTTTTCAAAATGGAGTCACACCAACTAAAATATTTACGAAAAAAAGACTTCTGTTTGATGAAATTTAATAAACTGTGTTATTGTGTTCGCTAAGTTGAATAGTTTAACTGCGGAGATTTTATATCTCGCACGTGAAGCGTGTTTGGCATTAACTTTTTTACGGAGTGGGTTTGCGGAACTCTTCATGAATGATATAATAATCTCTCATGATAACTTTAACCTTCGACACCTGTCAGCGTTCATATCATTCATGGATAATCATAAAAAGACCACTTTACTTTGAATTTGGTAGCTAGGAGGGCAATAAATGCTTCTCACTTTAAGCCTTCTTTTCAGAAAGCACGGCAACGTCCATCTGAATTAAAAAACTCTACTGTTTCATAGTGTTAGTCAATCACGATAGATTCAATTCAGTATATTTTATACAAATGATTAGAATTTAAAATTGTCACCCAGAAAAAAAATATTTTCACATTTTTTACCTGTTGCAATACTTTGGGATAAATCGAATAAGAAATAAAACTTATTAGTTGTTCCAGAGTATTTTGACCATTTGAATCCGATGAATCATATATATCTTGAATCTGCACATACTGTCCACAATCAAAATAAATTCGTAGCCTTTAAGAAACAAGTAAAGCAGATTACTAATTGAGGTAATTAAATATTCTCAGTTTTTAACATTCTAAATTACTCTTAAACAAAGTACATAACTGAAACTTACATTCCACAATCTTTTGTTTCATTTTTGTATTGTTTTGTCGTTCAGTCTGCCACATGTTAATTGTTTCATTCATTAAAAGCCTGAAGAGCGCTCAAATACTTTTATGGATTGTTTAAACTAAGTGATATTATGAGTTTTGAAAAAGTAGAGATTTAAAATTCAGGATGATGGCAGAAACTGTTTTGTTTTCCTATAGCTTTTTTATTAAGTCGTAAACATTTGAGCAGCAGGAGTAAATATTCACGAAACCAGTATATGTCTCTAGCTTCTAAGTGAACTCAGGGCTGAGGACGCCAACAAATAGATGTCATCCTCGATTGTACACGTATAATCATTTATTTTTCCTCTGAATTCCGGGTGGGACATACGGCTTCAAAATTGAGCTTTGAAGTTTCAGCAGCAGTGGCTTTCTTTTTTTATTTTTACGGGGTGAGGTTGCTAGCCTCACGTTTAACCTCCCATCTTTACCAGGCTTACTACCGGCTTGGAAAGGTTTAGGAGTGCGTCGGCCGAGGATCGAACCACAAAGCACTTGCGTGGTTGGCGAGCACTCTTTGGCTATACCACCGACGCCATTGTAGACGCAGAAAGACATAAATGTGAAAACCGTATCACGTAAAGGTTTTCTACTTTCATATGTCCTTTTTCAAAGTGTGCTATTTTCAATTAGTGTACCTTTTGTGCAGAGTTACAGATTGATAAATCAGTTAGTCGGTGCTGAAGTTGAGAAGAAAATATTAATCCAGTTCCTTCGGTTTGTATTCATAATAGTGAGATTAGTATTGGGTCAATTTTACTATTAAAAACTGTGGTTCTTCACCATTATTAACTATCGTCATACAGCAATTAAACTTCGAGAAAAAATACAATCACCTTAAGTCCATTGAAAATTCATTGAATGTATTATTAGGCTAATTTCTAAGTTTCATGGATAAACCACGGTGAATACAGAAGAGCGAATAGACTGAATTGATAGCCGTTTAGTGAACTATCTTATTCATATGCGGAGTTACTTAACATGGTGGCCGAGTAAGTAGAATTTCGTTAACGGTTAAGACTGTTACAAATCTTCGAGATTCCTTGTTTTGCTACACTTAATCGTCAAGATAGTTAATATTCTATCAAACACAGTTTATTTATTCATATCTCTTGTCCCACAACTCTGCCGTTTAAGTCGAAGTGATTTTAAAGTTTTTTATATATTTCTGCATTTACAACTTTTGTCATTTTTAGGCCGTTATCAGCTGATAAAAATATGTGAAATAAAAAATGAACCCTTTTCATCCTGCGAGTATTCTTGTTCTCTCTTTATAGTTAAAAAGTGCATGTATGTAGTTTTAAATTTTTAAAAACTAACTTAGAATAAAGCACTAGTTAATTAAGGGAAATATAAGTTGAATATATTAAAATAATTAGTAAGCCGTTCAGTCACTATTATTGAACCTTTTATTCATGTAAAATGTGAAAAGATAAACATGTTTGTTGTTATGAATTTAATGCCCAACACAATCTGATTGAGTTTGAAATGTAGAACATCACACAAAAGTGCAGCCATACTTTATAAAATACATAAACGTAGAGGAAAATGAAAGTTCAGAGAAGCTATAATGAATGGGAATACATGGTAGAAGGAATAATTATATTAAGAGTTATGAGAATCTGATGGATCTGGAAGTTGGTTAGTGTGAATGCATCTGTGACAGTGATGACGATTTTCAATTTTCACTAACAGTCTGCAGAAAGTGGTTCTCAAAGTCTTGATGGTCCCAGTCAGGCAGTTCCCGTGTCTGCAACCAATAGTCCAAAACTTTATGGACTAATGTCAGGTTTTGGTTTGACCACGCATATTTCCTTGCCAAATTAACCCACTATCTGTTAACATTGATGGAATTCACAGGTGATGGCTTGGAATGCATACCACAGGTCCTAGCCATCCCAGTCAATGCAGCTCGATAACCAACAGAATGTACAAGTGAATTATACATTTTTACGCATCTGTATATGTCATCAGTTGCAGAATCATTGAAAACTAATGATAACTGGACAACCTTTAGAAACTATTTTGGAACTAACTTGTACTTCACACTGACAACCTCACCAGGAACCGAACTCATGACCTTCAGGTTACGAATGAACACTTAAACCATTGAGTCACTAGGTCTGAGTTTAGCGGTCTACGAGTTCTTATTTCTGCTGATATCTGATACAGCAGAGCAATCATACCTGGTTATCAGTAAGTATACCTCCTACTTGGTTCAGCTACCCCGTATTGAATGGCCATCCATGGAGGATCACGTACTAAAACAAGGTGACCGTCTGGTTCTCATTTGTTTTAAATGCTTCTCTGGGGAGTTTCGTTTTGTGGTAAAATCTGCTTTTAAACTGATCCCTACTCACCAAGCAGTGTGTCCGAATACATTCTGCACCAACTCCAGCATTCACCGCTGAAATATTAAGTAGGCGTTGGGAGATTTCAGTCATTTAATGATAACTAAAACATTTTACAAATGCGAAACTTGCTGATGCTTCGATAGCCAGTGGCGATAAAATCAGTCAGTCGATCCAGATTACTATTTCAGTGTAATCAATTAAATATACATCCAAGTGTTGGTTTATAGGGATTTGATTGGTTTCAGGATTTTCATCATGAGCCGACACTAGTTGGAGAACCATTGGAAAACCTGGGAGCACTGGACAGCTGTTTCATCCTAGTTTGGGACTCTTCAGCAGTACGCACCCACCGGGATTCGAACCCAGGACCTTCTGGTTACAAGGCGAGATCGTATACCATTAAGCCACTGAGACCCAATCCAATAGCCCATGAATTCTAACTTCTGCCAATTCACGACATAGCGCGACCCCTAGCCAATGTCTTTGGCGAGTATTTGTCCTCACACCCGACCTGCTGCATCCAACTGGTCACGACTTCTCACATGCATATACATCCGTTAACAATGTATTATTGATATAAGTATAAAACTCCGGTGCTGTGGTAGAGTATAACTCCATTATAGATAAGACTTTATTTTGAGAAATCACGCAGTACTGCAATAGTTTGTACTCGAAACGTCATCAGTTAATATTACTGTATAACACTGTGTGATTTCTCAAAACAAAATCTTATCCGTTAACATGTATTTGATCAGCTAACTAATAGGTCAAAAATCGATAAAATGTAAGTGTGTTAAACAAGTACACATGTAAAGTCTGTTTCACAAGTTGCATGCAGTATACTCATGATAAGGACATCTAAAAATAAACAGACACGAATAAAAAGAGGACATACACAAAAGAAATATACGTTGTGAAGTACTTACACTTTTTTATTATGTTCAAATAAATAAGCGAATATTAAAACCACAGGGATAGCTAGTAAAACTTTGTTAGCTAATTCTGGTGAAATAGTGTACGGTGTGAAAATTAACAGCCAATTTCGACTAATACCAATCTGTGTCTCGAAATAATGATTGCGTAATAGTTGAGAATGGTAGATGGAATTCTGCATTGTATAGTCCTCATTATTTGCAAGTAATGAATTAGAAAACAGTTCCATAACTGAATGCCACCCATCTATCTTCTGCCACTTTTTAAGGCCAACATAGAAACTTTGTCCGAAATCCAGTAGACTATGAAATGTACTAGATAGGTGAATATTTTCTTCTGATTGTTCTGAAATTTTATCATTATAGTTTAAAGTAGATTTCAATACTTCTGAATGATTACGTTTAACGCGTTGACGAGTTATTTGCAAGTTGTCCGCAACTTTAGAATGAGAAGTAAAACTATTTTTTCGACCAGCAGGCAAATTTTGACTCAATGAATTCGCCTTGTTCAGATTATATTTCACAGGTACTGTTTCTCGATCCACTGATGTGAATGTACTTCCTCGAAATTTGAAGGAATTTTTTAATTGTTTTAGCTTCTCTTGAGAATTTCTTCGGTATATTTGGATTTTACCTAAACCACAGGAATGAAATTCAGAATGTTTGTAATAAAATAAAGACAGACTATAGAATGATGTTACTAAACTCATTTGAAGTAATCCGGTTTTCCAAACACGCATAGATATGAGATGAAAAGTTATCTAAATTTCTTCAGTAAGGCTACTTTTAACAAGGAATACGTCTGAAGGGTTTAGCAGTGTTAAAATCCCAAAGATGCCTAGAAAAAGTTTTACCACTGGCAGATGGTTATCACAGTCAAGTGATTTTTGTTATGAAGGACCGTCTAATAGTCACCCTAAAATACAGACATTGGCTCATAATAAAGTGAAATTAGTATTTGAATGACTAGTGGGCTCAGAGAATTGTAATAAAGGCATGAATTGTCTTCCAGAAATGTATGGAATTAAAAGGTCAGTTCAGTCTTTTGTGTTGAATACAACCAATTTTAGATTACTAAACGGCTTCGCAGAATTTGCAATAAGGAGCTCATTATGCACATGCGTTTACAAAACTGGGCATAGTGGTAATCTACTTTTACTTTATACGAGAGCACCCTGTGGTATTAGCCAACTTTTTTCATCTCTAACGTAAAAGTGATATTCGGCTGTAGGTCAGAGAACTTGTTTACTACGTCGTGATGCGTTCCATCCTTCCTTATTACTGGGAAACATGGCTGTTGAAAGTGAAAAATATGAAGACGTTAGTCGTATCTGACTACAGATGTTTGCCTACTACTTCTCGTGTTAAGTGGTATAATAAGGTGAGTAATATTGATGTCGGTCTTAGAGTATTAGGTAGGGATGGCAAGTCAATCGATGAGATTGTGAAGCTGCACTGAGTGACATGTCTAGGAGACGTCTTACGCATTTGTAACCATGTTCTTCACGCTAAGCAGTGCCAGCCAATACGAGATAAGGTTGTAAAAGAGTTGAGGGTGGTCAAATGAAGGTTGGCACTTGTCGACGAAGTCATGTAGTAAGGTGAGAACTGCTTACCTGAGGTTCTGGAGACAATTAGAATCTTTCAAATGTCTTTCAAATGTGTCTGCTCCCTTACATTTCCGTTCATTATAGCTTCTCTGAATTCTTATTTTTCGCTCTGTGTAGTATATGAAGTGTGCCTACTCAGTTAGTCAGTATTTTCGCAGTTTTCTTTTCGATATTGGCAAATATTAACAAATGGTCTAAGCAGGATAAAACAACAAGAAGATATAGATTATCTGAAGCATATAATGTATTTGCGCGACACACTGCAAACATTCTGGTCATACACGTAATTATGATACACATTTAAATAGAAGGCGAGATAGCATGAGTCAATGCAGGCCTAAAGTAATGATAAATAATTTTTGAACACGCAAGACAGGTTTAAGCCTTTTTATAGTTAAGGCTTCAATAAATTTAACTATGTGACCTGACCTTGTTTTATATGGGTTTAAAGGCATTACTGAAATCAACCTTATTTTATTTATTCTTATTTTAATTTACAGCTTGATTGCACACCGTATTTTCAGTACAAGTATGGAACTTTCAGCATGGATATCGGTAGCCCAAATTCAGGCCGACCATAGATATTGGGTGTGCGCCGGCAGGAGATCGAACCCCGGACCATGTGCATGGTCGGCGAGAGTCCTAACCACTGTGTCTCCATAATGTGCTTCTCTACAGGTGATGTTGGATATTTGTTGCCGGTATCAATTTTATCCGAAGATTTTATTTGTTGCTGCAGTCACTTTAGGATATGCTCTGTAGCGCTAACCTATAGAGATCGATAGGTTCTCCGTATGTACGTGTGTCCGCACATACGTGTAAACTGATGAACATAACGGGATGTGACACTATCGTTCAGATGCTGTGAGGGCTTACACGACAGCATAGATCTCATTTTCTCTATGAACATAAGTTTAGTTGCATAGTAAGTTCTATTAATTGCCGCCTTGAGTCTTTGTTTAGTGATCACAGTCTGTTGATCACCCCTGAACAGAAGGAATATATTAACGTCGTATTTTTCTTATCCCACGTTCTTACGTCATCTTTCTACCCGTATTTGTGACTTTTACCTGTACACAATTTGATCTGTATTTAAATAATTCATGCCATGTCGCATTCTGTATAAGTGTTTGACAAGTACATGTGTGGTCAGAATGTCCTAAATGTGTTGCGTGAATGCATTACACGTTCCAGATAAATTACGTCTTCTTATTTTTTGTGTTTATCGAAATTCATGAGGAGAACTAACTTCTTAAAGCAGGATAATTCAGAATAACCTTCTCAGTCAGGCTGATTAGAATATCGGGTGATGACAAAGCTAATGGAAACCAAGTTCACATTTTTAATAAAATCATTTACACATCAAATACTACTGGAGGCTTGACCGGTTGACCTAGGTATCGTAACTGGTAACTGTATCCTAATTTTTTTTAATAAATGAAGTTAACATCATTTGCCAACTCTTCATGAAACTAGTGGTTGGAATAAGACCACTTTTCTTAGTCATACTATGTATAGCTTGAGAAATAGGAAGGATATATCGATCGTGCTCTAATCTGACGATTTGACACATGTCAGATGCCAGTGATATAGGAAGATATAAATGTGAGTAAATTTATTTACAAATCATTACAAACCAACTACTGAAAATTAATCTGATGCTCGCTTGGGACTTGCTACAGGACGGAATTTCGTGGAGTTCTAGTGAGAAGTCATGACCATTGAGTTCCATTCAATCGGGTGTGAGGATGGATATCCTACTGATGACATTGGTTGGTGGTCGTCCTAAATCATGAATTGTTAAGAGTTAGAATTCATGGGCCATTGAATTGGGTCCCAGTGGCTGAATGGTGTACGAGCTTGCCTTGTAACCAGAAGGTCCTGGGTTCGAACCTCAGTGGATACTTACTGCCGATGACTCCCAAACTAGGATGAAACAGCTGTCCAGTAATTCCTGGTTTTCAATGGTTTTCTAACTCATATCAATCCGTGATTAACTCGTAAAAACAGATCTAATCCTTACAAGCCAACTATTGTAAATCCACTTTAATGTTGTGGTTCATTTAAATTATGTTCTTTACTGAGAATGTCTCCCGTTGATTTGGTTGTAGTACTTTCAGACCTATGAGTGTATGGCTTATATTTATCTCTTATCACAATACAACTACACTAAGATTAACATATTCGTGAGCATACATATTTATTTTGACAGATAGATACCAACAAATGATTGATAAATATATTATAACTGTATAACAAGTCACATACTTTGTTTAGGATTTTCACTGTCCGTAGTTATTATGTGTTCATTGCAGAACTGATGTAGGTAATCACTTCGTGAACGTTGCATGATTTCACGAAACTTTGAATACTTTAAAACAGCATACGCTGCATTCACAGCTGAAATTTATTTATATTAATAAAAATAAAATAATGTACACAGTTTGGTAGCAGCAAGAACAAAAAACAATGAGAAATGAATTACTAATAACAATATATATATATATATATATACATATATATATATATATATATATATATATATATATATATTACAGAATTACTTTCATTCTAATAATTTAAAGAAATATACTTCATATACAGATTCCTCGTTGAATGGTAACCAGTATTGTTGTCCAGTTATTCGTTATGAGGAGTGTCTCTGCGCCATGTGTGCAGATTGAAGCAGCTTTGGTGTTGTTTGACATTGTATATTTAAAAGAGATATTAACTTTTGCAAACGTATTGCATATTACACTGATAGGTATGAATCAAGAAAATTAGAACTCAAATGATATACTGATTACAGTCCGTGAACTGATTCGCCTGCATAATCCAGTCTCACAAAGATGGCCATTCATGGTGTAAATAACTTGTTTAAAGGTTCCTGGCTTTTCTGCTGTCTGACTCGGCTTAACATTAGGATTTATTTTTATGAGTTGAAATATATATATGTTGTCTCTCAGCACGGATACAGAAGGATAGTATTGCATATGCCAGTTTACGTCGTCTCTGGCGTAAACGTGATATCCGGCTTTCGACTAAGGGACGTATGTACTGCTTAGCTGTGAGACCTGGCCACTGAGAGAGGAGGACATGAAAAGCCTGACTGGCTATCTTTGATAATAGGTGCCTGTGTTCTGTCTCCTGTGTGAAGTGGTATAGTAGGGTAAGCAATACTTAGATTAGGCATCGAGTGCTAGGTAAGGAGGAGAGATTAATCGACGAGAAGTTACATCGAGTGAGATAGTTAGGACATGTGTTACGTACGCCTAGCCATCGGATTCCTCGATAATGGGCAATGGTAGCCAACATAAGGTCAGGCTGAGAAAGAACTAGCAGCGGTCAAACCAAAACATGGCACCAGTCAATGAAATCCACAACAGTTAGTTTAAGCTAGCCACGTAGGAAGGTGTAGACTTCGTGTTTGGGGTCCTCGAAACGGTAAAAACCAATGGCTGGAGACAATCAGTGATGTGGCTCAAAATCATTCTTAATGAATAATGCAGATGCATTCACCCCTTGTGACTTATAGTTTCCAATAAAACTATTTTGTTCTTCAATATTACTATTCTTTTTGCCTCATATCCCTGTCTACTATCTATAATTTGCATTTCTTCTACTTTTCCCGGTTGCTTGGTAAACTACATGGAGTGTGGCAACTTGAACTGCTGCACATCGGTGCAAAGTTCTATGTTGAAAACAGACAGACATATGTATGCAGTCACAGAAATATTGTTAGCAAAAGTTAACGATATGTGCACTTTTAAATGTCTCCAATTCAGTTTTAGTTACATGTAAAAATTGAAAAAAATATACTATGTAATATTGTTTAAAGAGAGCAGAGTTTATTGTTTTATTTGCAGCCGTTTTTTTGGTACTAGTATGCATGTTAGAAAAGACAGTAAACGCTAGAGGTATGTAGGTGTAGCTAATGCATATAAACATTTAGAAATAAAAATAAATATTACAGATATGTAACAGTGCGAATTTATAGAATCAAATAAAGTGTATATGGTAATATTATCATACTGTGTTTATATCTTTCTAGGTTATCCTTTTACTTGACTAGAAGTATAACTACATTATGGAGACCTTTTGAGTCAGCAGTCGAAAACCCTATAAAGATCAAAGAATATCAGTATAAGTGACCGTTTTCTGATTACATATGTATGGTTCAGGCTAAAATACTGCATAGTAGATAGGTTTATCTGTGATAAAACACACCATGATACAGTATTAATAACTGGATGATGTCTCGAGCACAATTTATTTCTCATATCATATCAATTTATTCCGATGACTTGATAGTTTCCTTTGCATATCATTTTACATTACATATATTATACTCAACCAGAGTGGTCAAATGCTATTCATAACTCATTGAAATATTGCATTTCGCTGACAACAAATACAGTTATTTGGCAAAAACGTATTATTTACTGATATAAAGATAAAATTTGGGCATTGTAGAAGAGCATAACTCCATTATGGAAAGAGAGAAGTACATTCCATAAGACATCCTTGTAGTTTACCAGTTTTTATGTACTGTGTTAGCGAATAATTTTTAAATAATAGTACTTTGCTATCTAATCAACATTCCCTCCTTATTCTGATACGTAGCATTTAAGGTTTATCACTCTGCTTGCAGTCAATAAGTACACAATATCACAACGGGTTTCAAGGATTTCTTTCCAAGAAGTACATTTGCTTATACTAAAACAATTTAACGAATTTAATAATGATTACAGCAAAAAATGAAGAGGTAAAACCCAGGATCGGAAAAGCAATGAAGACCTTCATTAGTCTGAAAACGGTATGGAAATCAACAACACTGAGCGAAAGTATAGTTCAGTAATTTTGAGCGTGTATCGCTTAATTAATTTCCAACAGTCTAGTGTAAACTTCCACAAACACTTTTCTTCGAAATATGCTGATAGTCACCTGTTTGATCGGCGAGGATTAGCAACGAGGAGCTCTGTAAGTTAGCCAGTCAATAATCTAATGCTTAACAAATGTACGGAGTGAAATGGAGGCAGATAGGATATACACTAAAGAAACATTACAGTTATATGCCATGGCAGGTGTTTAAGTGGAACCCAGATTGGAAGTGATGGTTTGGGTGTCCAACGGTGACACACAGAAGATCATGAGAAGCGGAACTGAAAACTTATGGAGTTCGTGAAGCCATTTAAAAAGGTTGGCAGAGAACTGAGTGCAGTTAAGATGTGTTTTTAATGCTTTATTTTACCTCTAAAATGCAAAGAATGAATAATAATAATAGCGCAAAATTACAGGTACAGGCAAATAACATAAGATTAGACTGTTAGAATTTAGAAGTTAAATGAAAAGCACTCTGCTAATCAAAGCCCTGAAGGCTACAGTTGAGCCGACTGAGAGGAAGTTCATTGAACTGATAACTACTTGAAGATAGGGAAAATTCGTCTTGAATTCAACTGCCAAACCCCGCCCAAAATGGTAATATACTTTACAGGGAGTGCAAACGATCTGCCAGCAATAAATTCATTGATTACTACTGATCAACCTTTCACATAAACATTATTATAAGAATATAATTTCATTTCTCCATGTAAAAACATTTGTTAGGTGACCAGTTAACTTCTTATTGGTTAAGTTACTGTTTATACTTCAATCAATACAAATATATGTGCGTTTTAGCCACTGAGTTATTTTTATAGTGTATCTACTGATGTTAGATCAATAAATCCAATATGCTGACTAAGCTTCTGTTAATAAGATAGAAAGTTGACTGTGGTTTTAATACGAAATAACTGGAGAAACTAATCACAACCTTAAAGGTGAAAGTAACTATAAGTTATCATTCTACAAATGAATATGAAATAAGTTAATGCACATCCAAGATCTGGCACACTATCTAGTGGTATTTAACAAGTTCAATGTTTTTTAAAATTATCAGTCATACTCAGGTTGGTTCATATTTTCAAAACATCACGTCGACAGTTAGAAATTGTTTTATTTCAGGATATGCAGTCAAAATCAGATCGGTTGGCAAATATTAATCAATGATTATCATCAAGAAGAAAAGTAAAAGGCATTTAAATAAGGTCTGTTTAACTAGTCTCACGTCAAAGCCAAACTATTTCTCTAGGGCCAAACTTTGACTATGCTCAGAGAAATACATTAACTGGATGATATTTGCTCAAGGTTTCATTTATTGTGAATACTTAATTCATTAACTTTACTATCATTAGATACTATAAGCTAAAAGGATCTATCCTGACTGCAAGAGTATGTAAATGTTAATCAATAGTAACGTTGGGTAAGCATAATTTCAGTTGATAATATGGTAATGTAACCAATCAAATAATATGAGTTGGTAGGTAGATTATGAATAAATATCCCTTAACGTTTATTATTCATTAAACAGAAGAGTGGCCAGTGGTCATCAAATGAAAGGTATGATACAGATTTTACCAGTTTATCTTTACACAGTCAATCTGCTGACATGTTAGTGGACATGTGTATCAATTCTGCGAAAAGTCAGCAACAGGAAATGTTATACTAATCCACTGTGGGTCGTTTGAAAGCAAAAGAATTCAGATATTCAATTAAAATAATTAGTCGTTTTTCTAGGCCTATTAAACGATTTTGGAAACAGCTGTGTTTAACAATAAGATAACGTTACATGTGTGAAGTAAAAAAACAACTTCTCAAATATTTGTGGTTGTGAAACACAATGTAAGGAACATATTAACTAATGAGTGCAAACTACTTAGAAAAGGACATATATATATATATTTGTAAAACACGTTTAGGGTTTCAGTGTTTGTTATCTCTTACTGCATACCGTAGAAAGAGAGACTTCTACATGAAGCAGTACTGGAGAGAATATCTACAGTGATATTGAAACTCTGACAACAGTTACAACCTTTACATGGTAGTAGAGATTGTATATAACAAGGATTCAACTAGCTATAGACTGTGAAACAAGTATCCATACAGGTAGGAGATGATAAATTTATCACTGCAAGATGAGTTGCTAACAACTTGAGGCCATATTGTATTCGTGTTCTAAAGAGGAGGAACTATAGAAGGTTGACTTTTGTAACTGAGACCTTGGACAGCTTGCATCAGCAACACTATCCTTGTGGACGAAATTTATAAAAAACCATTCTGCTACATGTGATGTTACACCGAATCCTATGGGTTAGCCTCTCAGCGCCGAGGTCATGTTTAAGACATGCTTCCCTCTGTTACAGGAATTCGAAGTCCAAATAAATCCCAACGGCGTGAAGACAACCAGGAAGGTCAAACGACGCCCAGTTTGCCAGAAACACACTAAATAGCTACATTTGTCACGCACTTAATCTTCCGCTCTTCTCTAACAGGTCATAAAAATTTCCAGGTGGTTTCGTAAC